GATGTATAAATGTTCCTGGCATGATCTGTTGTATTTACATAATAGCGTTTTTCATGCAATCCAGGCCCTAACTGAAACATTCGTACTTAGTCTGTACACAGAACAAAAGAGAGTTCTTTGAACTGTGCATGGGTGAAAACAGGGTTCAACTTTTCAAAAGTAGTTCAGGGATGGGAGGGGAAGAATAGAGAAAGTGCCGGGAATATGAGCAGTGGATGGAAGGGCCAGATTGGTGCATCATGTCCCCCCCCTCTTCCTTCCTCCATTCAGCATCAATTAATATAGCATATCCCATCAACCCATCTGAGCTGAACCTTCCTAGTCCCACCCCCACATCTGCCATCACTTGCCAAGTGTAGCTTACGCTATTAGTCCATCTGTTCTTCTTGAAGAGCAGAAAGGAAAAATGAAAATATGAAAGCTTCCACAGATTGTGATGCAAAAATGGAACTTTTTTCCTTTGTGATGCTTTCATTTTCTTTAGATGGTTTCCTAACCCCACCCCAACACAGAGGAGCTTTCTAAAATCTAATTGTGATATATGACGTAGCTTTCCTTTCTGGGTAAGCAACATTACACAAAGTGTAGAAAGGGGGTAAGAAATATTAGACCAAAAAAATTGAAGCCACTTATATACGTACGTACGTACGTACATACATACATACGTACGTACATACATACATACATACATACATACATATTGTGGCCAAACCATATTTACTTGTTTTATACTGCTCATCTTTCATACTCACTCTCCATTCATTCAGCACCATTCATTCCTGATCCAAACTCTTCTTGTATTCACATAAAAACTCCAGTATAGGCAGTCCTTGTTTACTGACCACTCATTCACTAGCCTTTCAAAGTTATAATGGTGCTGAAAAACAACTTATGACTGGTCCTCAAAGTTGTAGCTGTCGTAGTCTTCCTGCAGTCATGTGATAATGATGTCATAGCTTGGCACACATTTATGTTGGTCAGAGTATTCTGCAGTCAATGATCACCATTTATGATCTTCCCAGATAGCTTCTGGCAAACAAAATCAATGGGGAAAAGCAGGAAGTCTTAAATCAGGGGTCTTCAAACATGGCCCTTTTATGACTTGTGGACTTCAACTCCCAGAATTCCTCAGCCAGCATGCCTGGCTGAGGAATTCTGGGAGTTGAAATCCACAAGTCATAAAGCACATGAAGTCCACAAGCATGCCTGGCTGAGGAATTCTGGGAGTTGAAGTCCACAAGTCATAAAAGGACCAAGTTTCAAGACTCCTTTCGTAAATCATGATAACATGATGTCATACTTAATGACTGCAGGTGATTCACTTAACAACCATAGACGGAACTGATGTCACAAGTTGATGTGATCACTTGATGTTTTACTTAACAATTGCACCACTTAGCAACAGTGTTGCTGGTCCTAATTGCAATAAGTAAGCAAAGACTACACTTGTAGTTTTTTTCCCCTCACTGCATCCAGATTCACTTTATGTTTCCTTGGGTTCAGCCAAGCCCTACTTCCATGTAGCATCTCATCTGTGTGTCATACACTGCACGTAAGACATATTGAAAGTTGCCAGCTATTGCGTCAAAACTTTCTTCATTCAATATCATAGAATTGTTTGGAGAAATAAACTGATAACATAACTAAACTATCAGAATGGCATATATAGTCCATTTTTCCTTAAGCTCTTAGAGCAAAGAAGTATGGATGTTACAGCGTGTCATATTCCAAGGAGACTTTACATGACTTATACCACTTCCCTTCGTTTGGAAGGAGGTATTTTTATACAGTATATATCCTGTGTGATATTTTTTACTTTGGTTAGCCATCAACTGGCAGGATGTGACAAATGTAACAACTTGAAATCGAAAAGGAGCCATCAATGGACATGAACAAATCATGAATCAGAAAGCCCTCAAATTTCTTGTAGTACCAACACACAAGATATATAAAAAGAGATCATTGCAGTAACAGAGCTGGACTACAGGAAGTCCTAAGCTTATAGCCACAATTGGAACCAGAACTGCTGTAACTAAGTGAAGCAGTTGCTAAGAGAGTCATGCCTAATTGTATGACTTTTTTGCCATGGTCTCTAAGTGAATCATGCAATTGTTAAGCGAATCTGGCTTTTCTCGTTGACTTTGCTTATTGAAAGCCCCCTACAAAGGTTGTAATTGACACTCATATGACCTGGGACCCAGCAACTCTGGTGTCATGGTTCTGACAGATGAAACTCTTCAAAGAGAGGCATTGTTTACCTTAAAGAATCTTTATTCAAGTTGTATAGCATCTGCACTTACGAAGCCAAAATCTGGATTCCCCTCCCCTTAGCACAGTAGTTCTCAACCTTTTTAATGTTGCGACCCCCAACCAGTCGTAAGTCGAGGAGTAAACAACCGGTAGTAAGTCAAGGACTTTCCCTGTCCGGGAGCACCACGCATGCGTGGTGCTGCCCCCTGCGCCGGCCAAGGCGTAGCTGGCAAACGGCAGAGACGGCGCAGGCCAACCGCCGGCTGGGCCACCAGCTGACCCAGCCCAAGGGAGGTAAGGCACCCGCCGGGCCCCATGCGCACCAGCAACCCTCCCTGCGCCCACTGGCCTCCCACCTCCCACCCCTGGCCCTCTTTTACTTAAATTTTTAGTAGTTGCTCAGCAGGGAGGGGTGGAAACTTCCAGACAGCTCGCCTTCGCTGCAGACAACTTGCAGCACCGTTTGCAGAATGGGACTTTTGGCGGGCTCAGCAGGGCAGAGACAGCCTGGACAATTCCTATTGGCTTTTGAAAGCCAATAGAATTAGACTCTATTCAAGAGAGTCTATTCTATTGGCTTTCAAAAGCCAATAGAATAAAAGAGAGTAGCACAGCTAAAGAAAAGGGGAAAAAATGGCAGACTGCCGTTGTTTGGCGACCCCCGTGAAATGTTCGTTCACATAGCACATAGTATCAAACACAATTCCCTCTAATTTACAGTCAGAAATCACATTCTCCAATTAGTTTGAAATGCAGGCTTTCCCTCCTGTTCTCCAACTGCCAATTCTTATCATCTCTTAATTCACACACTAGTACAATATTGTTATGTCTAACTCCCATCACATTCTTCCTCCTCCCCCAACATAATCTAATTCTAAAAATAAAGCATAAGAAAAAAAAAGGCTGCATCTTCGTATGTTGTCAAAGCAAGAAGCATTTTGGACAGCCATTTGTCCAAAATGGTATAGGGTTACCTGCCTGAGTAGGGGGTTGGATTTGATGACCTCCAAGGTCCCTTCCAACTTTATTATTATTATTATTATTATTATTATTATTATTATTATTATTACTATTACTATTATTATTATTATTATTATTATTATTATTATTATTATTATTATTATGGATCATCGCAGTCAGCCAGATGTTCAGACTGGATTTGGCATTTTGTCTACCTATCGAGTCCTTACCCAGAACCTGGGATAGGCAGATGTGGATGTTTGATGGTATTACAGGTATCGTCGCAGGATGGAAGCAGTTCGTAGTAAGGCCGCCTTTTGCAATTGACTAATAGCGAATTTGCTAATACCAATGGTGTTCAAGTGGTGCTCCAGTTGTTTTGGGATTGCACGCAAGGAGCCTATTACTATTGGTACTACCCTTGCTTGCTTTTGCCAGTCTTTCTATTTCTATTTCTAGGTCTTTGTATTTTGTTATCTTCTCCAGTTCTTTCTCGTCTATTCTGTTGTTGTTGTTATTGTTGTTATTATTATGGATCATTGCACAGTCAGCCAGATGTTCAGACTGGATTTGGCATTTTGTCTACCTATCGAGTCCTTACCCAGGACCTGGATAGGCAGATGTGGATGTTTGATGGTATTACAGATATCGTCGCAGGATGGAAGCAGTTCCTAATAAGGCTGCCTTTTGCAATTGACTAATAGCGAATTTGTCAATGCCAATGGTGTTCAAGTGGTGCTCCAGTTGTTTTGGGATTGCACCCAAGGAGCCTATTATTATTGGTACTACCCTTGCTTGCTTTTGCCACAGTCTTTCTATTTCTATTTGTAGGTCTTTGTATTTTGTTATCTTCTCCATTTCTTTCTCGTCTATTCTGCTGTCTCCAGGCACTGCCACGTCCACTATCCAGACTTTTTTGTCTTTCTTATCGACAATTGTTAAATCTGGGGTGTTATGTTGCAGGTGCTTGTCTGTTTGAATTCTGAAGTCCCAGAGCAGTTTAATTTTATCATTTTCTATTATTATTATTATTATTATTATTATTATTATTATTATTATTATTATTATTAACATTCATTGTTAGCAGCGTTGACATATGGTAAATAAATGGCAGTTACCAAGCACCCAAATTTTGATCACATGACTGCAGGGTTGCTACAATGGTTGTAAATGGGAAGACCAGCCACAAGTCAGTTTTTAGCACTATCGTAACTTCAAATGGTCGCTAAACAAAGGATTGTAAGTTGCAAACTACCTGTATAAAAATTCAGATGACCAGTAGAATATATGAACACTCTGCTGCCATTTTGAGATAGACTGCCTTTTTGCCTTCCAAATCTGATAGCCCTAGTTTTTTTTAACATTTCTGTAGTAACAAAGAAAGGAAAGATGATCTGAGGTTTAATGACTTTCTGAATACAGACCTCATATTTCAACATCTGGTATCATTCTAGGTATTGAAGAATTTTAGGAATCTGTATTGATTTCATTTTAAGAGTACCAGATTAGCCGACAATTTCTTCAGTTATTGTTTTCAAATTTCCCTACATGGAAAATGTGTGATATCATCTTTTTGGAGCTGAGAAGAAAAGATCATTTGCTAAAGAGGCCACTTTTCAGATAGAAATGTTGCACACAAAATCATACACTTACTTATCTGTTTTCATATGGAGAATATACCATACTACCGATCTTTGTTGGTAATGTTATGTAGAATAAAGTCATGAATGTATAGAAAGGTATACGTAAGCTGTTTTTATTGACTAACAAAACTCTGCTTTCAGAATTTCCAAACACAGGTGTAAATAAGCTCAGAACATCTGAGAGTGTTCCTATCGCTTCTTATCATGTTGGAACAGAGCCTGAACAAGGAAATCTTTACTCTCCAGAGCAGACATCGCTTCATGAAAGTGAGGGTCTGTTATATACATTTTAAATAATCTGACATTTTTCGATTCAAGAGTTTTTTTTGTGGTAACTTGTAATAATGTCAGTCTTGTAATGATTTATTCCTGCAGGATCAGTTGGTAACTCTAGAAGTTCAACACAGATGAATTCATATTCTGATAGTGGGTACCAGGAAGTAGGCAGTTTCCATAACAGCCAGAACCCAGGAAAAGGAGAGAGCAGACAGCAGCATTCTTTTGCAGGAGCAAATAATAACCATTTAGTGCGAAGTTCACGTGCTGAAGGACAAACTTTGGTACAGGTACAGCTAAATTCCAGCACCTGTTTTCATTCAGTGTTCCATTTGCTGATCATTTGCAAATAGTTATGCTTTGTCATTGTGTAAGGAGATATGTCTGTATTTTATAAGAAAAGGCCCTATCATCAGCCCCCAACCTTTTGGGCACCAGGGATTGGTTCTGTGGAGAGAGGTTTTTCCATGGACCAGAGGGAGGCATGGTTTCCTGTGCTGCCTGCATCCCGTGAATGGGGCTTCACTTGTTTGTGGGGCCCAGTTTCTGGCATGCCACAGACCGGTGCCAGTCCACGGACTGGGGGTTGGGGACCCCTGCCCTAAGTTCTGTAGTAGAAGTCTGCTATTTATTATGATATTGATTTCTTTCTGCCTATGAGGCACTCATTTCTAGTCCCATGGGATTTTCTTTCTTCACAACCTCCCCCCTCCCTTCATCATTTTCCTCCAAAATCTGCTTGGGAAAGGCTTCCAACTATTTTGAGCGGATGTGGAGAATGGGCAGCGTATAGGAAGAATATATTCTCTTCCTGGGTACTGTTCTGCCATATAACGTGCCCAATGTTTTTAAGTTTGTAACATTTACTCAATTTATTGTTCATTAAAAAACAAAATATCACAGCACTTGAAAAACTGCCCACAAAAGTGAATTTTAAATTTTGAAAGTGTGTGTATGAATGTACATTTAAGAAAAGTCCACAAAATTATAACTTAGTGTATATGCAATATAAAAAATAATATTTACCAAATTAACATAATTGTCTTAAGACATAATTGTCCATAGATTATAAACAAATCTTATAAAATTTATAGAAATAAAAACAATGAAATAACACAATATTTATCACAGCTATTCCACAAAAATAAAGATAAATTCAACAAAAACATTGTTTACTATTACAAATTGCAATAACTATTGTTTGTATGAAACAGGTCAACTATATAAACCTGAGCCTATATTTGCAATGAAAAGATGACTGTTAAACTAAAGATACAGCTATGCAAAATTATAATGTTATAATTATATAATCATTTTACAGGGTTATTGTCTTTATAGCTTCTTTCAAGGAAACCTGAAAAATATTTTCTATTTACCGTAAATGCCGGCGTATAAGGCGACTTCCGCGAGCGCTGAAATCGGCACCAAAGACGGGGGTCATCTTTTACACCAAGTCATCTTTTACGCCGGAAATACTGGTAGTTTCCGGCGTATAAGACGACGTTCTAGGAATGCGGCTCGGCGATAAAAATGGGGGTCGTCTTATACGCCGGGTCGCCTTGTACGCTGGCATATACGGTAATTTTTTATTTTTCTATTTAGTAAAGAATGTTCAGTGTCTAACAATGCATTCTAGATGGATGCTGTAATTAATAAAATTGTTTAAAAATATTTTAGGCTTAATGTAACAAAAGGAAAGTATTTTACTTTTCATTGGGAGAAATTGAGAGTTCATTGGGAGAAATTGAGAGTTCAGTCCTGTTCACAAGTACTTTCCAGTGAATCCAATAGGGCCTAATCCCAAATCTGTATATGAGGTTTTCACTTAATCTTTACACTTAAATTTATTTTGTTGATATCGTTATTTTTCTCCTTTTTAATAGACAGCACCAAACATAGCTTCCACCAACAGAGCCATGAGACGTGTAAGTTCTGTTCCATCAAGGGCCCAATCTCCCTCATATGTAACCACTACAGGAGTTTCCCCTTCAAGGGGATCACTCAGAACTTCTTTAGGAGGTGGCTATGGTTCGCCATCTATTATTGAGTCACGGTCTGTCAGCTCTAATGTTTTCTCAACATTACCTGTTCAAAGAGCAGCATCTCCATTTACTACACAGAGGCCTGCCTCACCAGTAGCAGTGCGCCGAATTGGTTCAATAACATCTAGGCAATCAACCAACCCCAATGGAGGAACTCCTCAATACCAGCCTTCAGTCAGAGTTGGTTCACCTCTCACAATAAATGATACGCAGACAAGAGTAGCCTCTCCACCCTTAACTCAAGTTGGATCTTCATCACCAAAGCGCTCTGGGATGACTGCTGTTCCACAACATTTGGGAACATCATTACAACGGACACTTCATGACATTGAGCAATATGCACAGCAGTATGACATCTATGAAAGAATGGTTCCACCTCGTCCAGACAGCCTTACAGGTTAGTAAAAAGGTAAAGACACAACTTAAAATTTTGTGCAATTATATGTTACGTTAATGACAAATGGAATTATCGGAAGCAATTATTGCAATTATTTTTCTGAAAATGAATGTTTTAAAGAAAGGAATTAATTCTTTCAAAAATAATAATTGGTTAGTGTGGTTGCATATTTTCACTTTTTTTTCTAAGTCAGAACTGAATTTCAAGCTGAGGAGGAAAGAATAAGCAGATCTAAAAAAATACAAACTTACTAATATTTCTGTGCTGCAAATGTATGTCAGATCTCACATATATAGGTTTGCTTTCATTGCACAAATGATTATGCTCTAACTCACGGGTGTCAAACTCGCAATGTCACGTGACGTGTCGCAACGTATCGGGACTTTTTTCCCATTGCCGGCAATGGGATGGGCGCAGTTTTGGCGTGACGCATCCAGCCTGGCAATTTGATACCCCTGCTCGAACTAAATAACAAATGGTAAAAATAAAATCTATTATCTTAGTTGGCCTAAAAATTGATAATCACATTATAGAGTGTCCTCTTAATCTCTCAGAGCATTTTTTTTTTAGAAATACGGGGGGGGGAAGTGGAGAATAATATTCTTCTATAGTTTACATTTATCTTGCCTAATAATTTAATTATTAATACTATGTTCCAAAATACCTTTCTGCTATTTTTTCAAGACTGAATCAATTTGATGGGGAGAAATGTTTTTATATTTTTTCTAAGAACATTTTAATGGATTTTTTCATTATTTGGCCATAGGGTTGTGCATTTATTTTATTTTATTATTTTTACAAATAACTCAAGGCAGTGAACTTATCCAACACACCTTTCTCCTACTATTTCCCCCACAACAACCAGCCTATGAAGTGAGTTGGGCTAAAGAGAGGGACAGACCCAAGATCACCTGCTGGCTTTCATGGCTACGGCAGAACTAGTATTCACAATCTCCTACTTTTTAGCCTAATGACTTAACTGACCAAACTGGCTTTCAATTTATTTAACTTACACATTGGTGGTGTCTAATTATGCAGTAATAATAATAAAGATCTAAAGATCTGCAGCTTCCCTGGCTTTCCACTCCTCAATTAAATTTCAACAAAATATCTCACAAGTTTTCCCCTATAGAATTTTTTCAGATCACAAAATATTGGAGGCTATAAAATGGTGAAGAAATATGAAACATGAACACAATTTCTGCTCTGCAGGGGTGAAGTTAGTTAAAAATGCCATTAACTTTTGTTCTAAAGAATTTCTAAAGTATCTTGAGAATTAGAAAAACACAAGCTACTTTTTCAGGAAAAAAAAACTTCAGGCAAATAAGCTATTGAAACATTTCTTTTGCAGTTGATAATTATATCTTTAGTAGCCAACATGATATTTAATTATTTGTTTGGAATATTTATAGCCCACCCACAATCTATTGACTCACATGGCGAATTGCAATCCTTTTTTAAAAAGAGAAAAGAGTAGCACCGGGTAAAAAAAATCAATAATAAATTACTTAAAAATACAATATAAAACTATAATGAACAAGTATCGGGGAGGCATTTAAAAGACAAAGGCCTGGTGAAACATAACATGAAATGTCAAATCCGAGAGCTAAAAAATCAGGTCTTCAACTGGCATAAAAATCCAATAACATTGGCACCAGCATTATCTTACAGGTAATTATATTTTTTGTTAGATGTCTATGGAAATTCTCAGTCATCCAGGTCACGGTTGTCCCAAAACTGATACATAAATTCTGAAATTAACCCATTTTATGCAGTGATACTTTTCAAAACAGATTAAACCAGCATGAATAAATTTTACAAGTTTTGTTAAGGAATAAAATATGGCAGCCGAGAAAATGTGTTTAAATTTATCTTATAAGAGATACTGAAAAGTTGATACTTTGTGCTTGATTCAGCAAATTTCAGTGAATCCTGAAATTTGAAAATGAGCATGATGCAGTCCTTTATTATGACTGCATCATGCTCATTTTGCCCCCCAAAAGAAAACTCAGAATGTTTTTAAGGAAAAACCTCTACTGGTTTAATGAGTCTCTTTCGAAGTATGATATCGAAGTATGATATCCACATAATTGTGATCTGTTTATTATTTGCTTCATTTTCCATATATTTTTCCTTATATCACAGAATATGTAAGCTTCCCAGAATCAGTTATAATTGGGGCAGCGTTTAAGCTCACTAAAATAAGTAATTAAAAAATAAAATAAATATCCATCTGCATAAATTTGTTTATAGTTATTTCATATAAGCCAGCTGAAATTCTGAAATAAGAGTTCTGATACAAATGTTTCATAGGAACATGATTTAACAGACCAGTTGTGGGGAGATAGCATCTGTTACTCCCAAATGTCTGTGAAATCGCATTATTATATAATTTACAATAATTTGTATCATTTACATAATGATATTGTTAAGTAAATGATGTAATTCACCTCAATTCATGTCATTTACATAATGACATCATTACACAAATGACTTAAATCTCAAATGAGCTAAAAGTATCATAAAATTAACATATTTAATTGCCTTATCTAGACTACTTTGGGTGCCCTGGGCTTGTCCATTATATTTGGGGGCAGGGGGGCGGATATCCAGATTAAAAATTTATCTGCTACACCTGAAGACTGCTAAATAAGGATCTGTTAAATGGAATTATCCCTCTATTTCCCTAAGATTTTTAAATCTTTATGCAGTTAAGAACCCCTTCTCACTTTAAAAAATTATGGAGAATCCCAAGAGAGCTTTTGTTCATATGGGTTATATTTATCAACATTTAATGTATTAAAAATTAAAATTGATGTATCTGCTGCACTTTTGCTTCTCACAATTGTTTTATGTAATTTTAATAATATATTATTTGTAATATAGGCTGGCTAATAATTTTGATTTTGTGGATTTCTGACAGCCTCTTGGGGAATTTCTAGGAGTCCCAGTCTTGTGGAAAAATAAAGCCTTAAAAAAATAAAGGACTTTTACGAAATTCCAAGGGTGAAAGAGAGATTTTTATTTTTGCGCAAAAGGTTCAAAAGTGATTTAACAATCAACAAATTTCTGAACAAGGGGGAGGGTCTAAACTAAAGCTTTATAGGTTTCTTTTTCTCAGGAACAAAGGAGGCATAGATGGAATCTTACATTGTATATGGAATCTACTTTGTGTAACATTCAGATAGTTTCTCACATGTTAGCTCCATTTCTCATGGGAATACAATGAAGGCAGTTTTTACTTTTATACAATGTTTCTAAATATGTATTAGGTCATTCACGTACTGTTAATACAGCTTTTGGCTAACACAGCTTTCTTTCGGAGATTATGCAGACACATGATTTTTGCTTTTAGTGATTTTTCATCATTATTATTATTATTATTATTATTATTATTATTATTATTATTATTATTATTATTATTATTATTATTATCATCATTTTACTTTATTCTTCTTTATTCTATGTTATTCTATTTCTTTCCCACATTACCAGGACCACATTTTAAAAAATACTGGTCTAGTACATGGGGAACATACTGTATGTTGGGATGAGGGAGTCCTTGGTGGTCTCTGAGCTTGCTTGTTTTCTTGCAGATATTTCATTACTAACCTAGGTAACATCAGTGCTACCATGTTTCTTATTTTATTTTTTTTTGCCCCCAAAAGAGACACCAGGTTTCATTTTCGGGGGGTGTCTTTTCCATTCAACTCCGGCACTGACAGCCCCACCCAGCCGGCCCACTTCTGCGGCCGAAGGAGCAGCTTCATTCTGCAGTTGAGAATGGAGCTCGACCCTGCATTTCGCCATCAGAGGCCTTTCTGGGAGGCCTGTGCAGTCAAGAACTGAGCTATAGCCTCTGACTGCGAAATGTAGGCCTGAGCTCCATTCTCAGCTGCAGAATGAAGCTGCTCCTTCGGCCGCAGGAGAAGTGGGCCAGTGAGGCAAGTGTCGATCCATGGGAGGTCTGGTTGCAATGGTAAGCTCCACACCCCCACCCTACCTTGATTTTTAGGCGTGCGCCTTGGCCAAAAACTAGGGCTTATTTTGGGGGGGGTAGGTCTTTCAGGGAAACACGGTAGTAAGGAGTGCAGTTTGCTGTCAAATTATATTCTGGTGGTTTGCCCTGTCACTCTTGGTGGGGGTGGTCTTAGAGACTCTGTTTACTGTTGGCTCTTTGGCAGTTTCTTGACTGGGGTATTGTTTATTTGACAGTTGGTCTGATATTAACCTTGGACTTAATCCGTGCTCATCTGGATGCTGATTGCTGGTGGAGAGGTGCTCTGGTCTTTTTGCTCCTTTTTTTGGGCTGGGTGATCGTGTGTTTTGCATAGTCTACAGATGTTGTTAATACTTGTGTGTCTATTGATAGATGATTTGTCAGAGTGCCTGGCTTCTAGAAATTCTCTGGCATTTTTGGACTTGGCCTAGTCTGGGATGGTCACATTTTCCCAATTGAAACTATGGTTAAATCTGTCTATATGTTGTGAAATTAAAGAATTTTCATCATGTCTTCTGACTGCTAGTTTATGTTCCTGGATGCATTCTGCCAGTTTTCTGCCTGTTTGTCCTACATAGTGGTTGTTTCAATCGTTACATTGCATGTTGTAGATGACTTTTTTCTTCTGGGGTTATTGGGTCTTTTGGTCTGCTTAGAATGTTTTGAAGGACTTTAGTTTGCTTGTGTGCTATGCTGATTCCATGTGGTTGTAGGAGTCTGTTGGTGGTTTCTGAGATATTCTTGATGTATGGCAATGTAATAATAATACTAATAATAATAATAATCAGGGCTTTTTTGTCGTTCTGGCACCTTTTTTGGATGTAACCTTGTAGGGTAGGCAAGGTGGGTTGTATGACATGTGTGAGTTCTGGCACCATTTTTTTTTAAAAAAAGCACTGATAATAGTAATAGTAATAATAATAATAATATAATATAATATAATAAAGTTGGAAGGGACCTTGGAGGTCATCAAGTCCAACCCCCTGCTCAGGCAGGTAAC